CAAACACCTGCACGGTTGCCGCAATCCGTGCACAAGGTCAATCTCTCTCAAAAAGCTTCCAAGCATACTAGAATGGCAGCAACCGCACCTTCTGCTTGCCGCAAGGGTCACCTCGTTGCAGGTGTGATGCCAAACACCTGCGCGGTTGCCGCAATCCGTGCACTAGGTCAATCTCTCTCAAATAGCTTCCAAGCACACTGGAATGGCAGCAACCGCACCTTCTGCTTGCCGCAAGGGTCCCGCAAGGGTCACCTGGTTGCAGGTGTGATGCCAAACACCTGCAGGGTTGCCGCAATCCGTGCACTAGGTCAATCCCTCTCAAAGAGCTTCCAAGCACACTAGAATGGCAGCAACCGCGCCTTCTGCTTGCTGCAGGGTCACCTCATTGCAGGTGTGATGCCAAACACCTGCACGGTTGCCGCAATCCGTGCACAAGGTCAATCTCTCAAAAAGCTTCCAAGCACACTAGAATAGCAGCAACCGCGCCTTCTGCTTGCCGCAAGGGTCACCTCGTTGCAGGTGTGATGCCAAACACCTGCACGGTTGCCGCAATCCGTGCACTAGGTCAATCTCTCTCAAAGAGCTTCCAAGCACACTAGAATGGCAGCAACCGCACCTTCTGCTTGCCGCAAGGGTCACCTTGTTGCAGGTGTGATGCCAAACACCTGCACGGTTGCCGCAATCTGTGCACTAGGTCAATCTCTCTCAAAGAGCTTCCAAGCACACTAGAATGGCAGCAACCGCGCCTTCTGCTTGCCGCAAGGGTCACCTTGTTGCAGGTGTGATGCCAAACACCTGCACGGTTGCCGCAATCCGTGCACTAGGTCAATCTCTCTCAAAGAGCTTCCAAGCACACTAGAATGGCAGCAACCGCGCCTTCTGCTTGCTGTACAGGTAGGGGTGCTGGGTTTTTTCGTGCATGGTTGCGGCAATTGGAAAACAACCTTTGCAATGGAATTGCGAGGCCTTCCACAGCTGCCAGCAGACAGTGCGATCTTAGAACCGCCAAATCGCAGATTTTCTAGGTCCAGCCGGTCCAGCCGGTCAGGTCATCATGAACATTTGTCCCATACCGAGACCTATTCAATGTCGTATATTGTGTCTACTAGCTTCTTGTTACTACTAGTAAGGCACTTGTTGCTAGAAGCGATGCACTTGTTCCTAGTAGCTTCTTGTTACTAGTATTCAATTTCGTATATTTTGAGGATTCATTGATGTCGTCATGGGGTGAGTGGTTCTTGTGCATCACAACTTGTGGGTAGATGACATCCACAGTAGGGAGAATGTGGCATTAGAAATCCATTTGGCGTGCGAAAAGAGCGAATAGAAAACTGGCCATGTGTGCTTTGATGTAGCATGACTTCACTTCGGAGCTTAAGCCAAAATGCCAAGAGCATGTCCTCTCTCGTACCTCTTTTTAGATGGTGTGGGATGGCACTGAGTAGACGGTCAAAATCACGAAATGCGTTGGGATTCATCATAAGTTTCCTATGCTACCCACATCTTCTACTCAAGAGCAGTTCTTGGTGTCGGCTGTCCTTTATATGGTCTGAGTCTAGTTCTTAACTTTGTGGAAGCATGCAAAATTGCTCATCTGCTGGTTGAGCATCTACGTGACCCAACATTCCTGTTTTGCTTGGCGGACGTAAAGTGGCTTGATTTCAGCATACGCAGGCACTACATTGTAGCCGCACGGGCCTCAGAAACTGAGAGAAGCAATGTATGCAGTCAAGGTAAAGTACAACCTGTCACTTCATCTATTGGCGAGCAAGTTTATTCTCTCCTTGTGCAAGCCGGCAATATGAAGAGGGGTGCACAAGACCACTGTTGAGTGTCCAGCCAGGTCGCCTGGTTACTGGAGCCTTCACATGCCATGGGCCAAGTATTGCAGGCCAGTTCTGAGAAGAAAGTGAGTTCGTCCAGGTATAAATCACAACTAAAAGGGATCCGTCTGAGTACATCAGGGAATGAACTTGGCTAACCGATAAAAAAATAAAGTACAAACCAAACGCATCTGCTCGCATCGCATGGACACCTTCGTGAAAATGAAAATACGTGGTCAAAACTCTGTATCCATGACTAAACTAAATAAGTCCGTAAGTGCCCCTTGACTAAGGCCCGGTCCCCCATGTCTTAAAGGGGCCCAGGGGCCCTTTCTTTCAAATCCTCCGGTCGAAGCCTCGCCTCGCTCGCTCGTCGCATGGGGTGGATCAACTTGGACGGTGCTTCGGCACCTCGCCTCGGCGCCCGACGGGCACTCCGCAGCGAACGGCGTCCATCCCGAACGGAAGAACGGCCACAGACAGAGAAGGCCGGAGCTTGGCAACCACTATCCCATGAACTGCGATTGGACTGGACCAGCACAAGCAAACCACAGCTTCCAGGACTTGAGAGTTTCGGCTTTCGGGGAGAATTGTGACGAATGACGAATGGTGCAAAAATCCATGAAAACCTGCCCCCCCTCACCCATTGCGTATTGGGTTCCTGGATCCTCTAAGACTCTAAGTACCACATCCTTCAAGACAGGTCAAGTCACCCCCAAATCTAGCTGATTGCTGCCAGGTCACAACCAGCTTACATTCGGCACTTGCTGCAAAGGTGAAAGCATTGGCTTCATTGGTGAAATAACCTATCCAAAAGACTCGAAACCGGAAATCGAAGAACTCCAAAAGCAAAAATAGCAAGTCGACCGCTTTGACCGCGCACTCGCAGCTGTCAATTGGCCTTGCCTGGGAATTGCTTGGCGAGCGGCTGTCATGTGCTTTTACGGCGGAAGGGGAGCTACCTTGCTCGCCGGGCACAGTTTCGACCTCTGTTCATGGGAACTGATCTGGAAAAGCACCAGCCTCTTGAAAGGTAGTGTACAGCTGGCTGCTTCTCGCGCGGGCCTCAGAAGCAGCATTGGTAGTTCCAGGACAACTCACTCTCACTCTCACTCTCACTCTCACTCTCACTCTCACACTCTCTCTCTCTCTCTCTCTGTGTCACTGACTCTCAAAGGGTAGACTTCTCTGGATCCATGCCTGAGCGCGCAGTTTCACACCTCATTTTCTGATAGGAAAAACACACTGAATCTTTCAGAATTGCCATAGAAGCCTTGCACGTTTATTTTGCCCAAGTGGCCATCTCTGCTTTCAGGGCCTCAGGGCAACGCCCACATTCGAACCCACAACTCCAGGTCGGCGGTCCGGTTCGCGTCGCATCTGGCCTTGGTTCGGCCCAACACGGAGACCAGCTCCTGGCACATCGGTTGTCAAGAGCCAAAAAGTGCACAACAGGCTGTGAAGAATAGTGAAACGGTTCTCAGTGCTTTTTTTGTAGTGACTACCAACGAAATGGTTCATCTATCACTCTCAGTCTGCCGGCTAAGAGCTCTTATCCCATAACAGCATCCGTTTTGAAGATGAAAGTGGCGAGAAAAGAGTTCCCCTTTCAAATCTCAAAGCCTACGGAACAGAGGAAAAGGCACTAGATACATCTCACCCAAGCAAGGTGCTTGTATCAGTCAACATTGGTCCAGTCCAAAGAGTCGGTAGACACGGACTCCAAGGACAACAAGAAGATCCACTTCATTCTGGTTCTAGTAAGTTGGAGGCCATCGCTATTAGGTAGTCTAAGGAGGATCCATAGTGCCATAGAGCTTGGACAAGTCCAAGCAGGGTGATCTTCAAAACAAGAGTTTGGACCTCAAGCAGGAGGTCATTCTCTCGCTGCAGAGCAGCCTGTGTCCGTGAGCAAGTCAAATCCCCCAACAAGACTGTCCACATCACAACCACTTCAAAAACCTGAAGCAGCTGGCCTGTAAAGAGACCATCTGCTCTTCTCGATCTACAAAAGCTGCCTTTTCTTGCCTCACAGGGATCATTGCAGTGCTCCCATTTGGATACACGTGACAAAATAAAGAGTTGTTGCGGGCCATCCACGGAACTTTTTGGATCTCAGATGCCAACTGGTGTGCTTTGCACAGTTTTTCAAGCTCCTGTCGCACAAGTTTTGCTAAATGTGCTGTTGAAGGGGTAGTTCATTGCTGCCTCCAAGGCAGTTTTTTCTCTTTTTCGCGCCTGGCCCATTACATGATGGTGCTACGCACAGAGTTCTCACACATCTGTCCATAAGCCGGGTGCAAGAAACATGAAAATACTGTTTGCCACAGCCTTCTCTAACTCCTCCTGCATCTCCTCCAATCTGAGGGCTTGCCTCATACACACCTTCGTATGTTGACAGGCAAGAGTGGATCAAAAGGTTCTAACCAACAGGGGCAAATAATTTCTACATGCGTCTTACTCTTGAACTCTAGGCTGCAAGTAGGCAAGGAACATTGAACGTAGATAAATGTTTCATTCCGAGCAGCAAGACTCATTCATCACCACACATATATTGTCATTGAAAAATATAGAAAGGACACGTAAGAACAGTCACAAACTGCATAGCAAAAACGTTTCAATTCAGATCCAGCCTCGGCCAGCTTTGGGCCGTGGACATCCTCGGCCAGAGCTGGTGCTGAAAAGGACCGAAACGACATCAACCGATGAACCCTCGGCCTGGGAATCCGCCGTCATGGGAGGTGCACGCGGCGCGTAAAGCAAACCAACACCCTTGACTTTGTTCCACTGTGCCAAACAACATGGCTAAATCTCACACTTTTGCAGCTGACAATTCATTTGCTCATTCATGTTATCACAACTTTGCTGTGCAACACCACAACATGTGCGAAAGACCAGGCCTTCTGATCAAAAAATGCAGGCCAAGGACGATATGAAATTTGTGAACCTGCGCATCTTGAATGGTAGACGACAACTTCGTGTTGTAGATTGCAACAGCAGCAAGCATGTTCCCAATGGATTGCCATCACAGAACTTGTGTTTCACCGTTTCCGCTGTCCCGTTAGGAAGCCTGGATGCCATTTGTTTACTGTACACCTTTTTTTGATTCACAAAAGGGCTGCGCAGTGGTGTCATACATGCTTCATGATGCTGGTTATGCTGTACATCTCTACTATGCCCTGCATGGAAAATGGTTCCCATTCCTTCTTGGCACTGTGAAGCTCTAAGGTGCTGCTTTGAACTCACTTTGCCACCATAGTCCATGTTTTCCATTCCATTTTTGTTTCTCTTCAAGCTTACTCATCTCTCTCAGGAACTGGGTTCCCAGAGATTGGCATTACATCTGTTTGTGGTCTATCTGGATAGTTTTTCCTCACGATTGTACATTCTAACAGTTTTTGATACTTCCTTTTCTGCCATATCTGCTGCCTCCTGCAATCCTCTACTCATAAGATTCCAATGTCCTTTCATGGAGTTGCTCAAGTTTTGCTCCAGCTCGGCCACGCATCTGGCTTGCTTGCTCTGCAATGTATTGTTCTCTCATTGATATCTCCCTGTTTCCTACTTTGAGATTCTTGACTCAATCCCAAACCTTCTCCACATATTGACATCGTTTCGTTTCACAAGACACAAAGCACAAAGTCAGCTGATCAACTGAGATACGCCGCTCTGACAGTCTTTTTCACTTGGGCGGTCACGTGTTGGTCACATTCAAGGCCCCCCCCCGCGTCAACGGAAAAGGAACGTCAGTAGTAGGAGGCGGAGATGATGTCATGAACAGGGGGGGTTTTCAGGGCGGGTGACAACATGCATTGCGCTGCTCTCCCACCCGCCCACCACTTGAGAGGAAAGAAAACGGACAAACATATATTTCCGTGCGCCACCGCTCAAATCGTGGTCGCCTGTTTCACTCCGTCTTTCTCATGCTTCTTTGGGAAATTAAAACAACTTCAAGTGATCATAAAGGACAACCAAAAGGGGTGATTGAGCGATCGCATGCGGACAGCATGCTCCTATCAAAAATCTAAAAAGAATTAGGAAACTTCGCTTCCAAATGACCTTTGAGATTCTTGACTCAATCCCAAACCTTCTCCACATATTGACATCGTTTCGTTTCACAAGACACAAAGCACAAAGTCAGCTGATCAACTGAGATACGCCGCTCTGACAGTCTTTTTCACTTGGGCGGTCACGTGTTGGTCACATTCAAGGCCCCCCCCCCACATTTTTCAGGGGGCCAACACGACCACCCCGCCTCTTCCAAGAAGAGGGTCCAGCTCCTCACGAGACTGGACACAGTTCAAGTCCAGTGACTGGACACACAGGTTTCAGGCAAGTTGCGCCCAGTTGCAAAACCAGTTCTAGATCACCTCTCGAGGGGCCATCAGCAATGTTTGATTCGGACGGCGCCCGACTGAACCATGCCCATGTTGGCCCAGAGAGCTCAAGCCGCTCAAAACTCACCAAGAGCGTGCGAAAGACTCTACTTGAAGATATGCCCTTGACGAAAGGGTCCATTGATGAGTTGTTATCAATGAAGTAGATACATCTCTTGTGGCTAAGCAGGTCACCCCACACAAATCGGGCTACAAGTAAGGCATACATTTCGACAGGGCCTATGATATGCTTCAGTTCTGCACACCACGAATCAGTCAGAGCTCGCGGCACCACGCCTGAGAAGAATTGACAGACCCCTATGGAAGGCTCGAGGATAACTCCACCAATAGTATGAAGCGCCCCTTCACTGGCACCATCAGTAAAAACTAAAACAGGTGGGCAGGGATCAGAACATGGAATGGTTCTTGGCACACCGGCTGTCAATCTTTTAAGTAAAAGACCAAATGACTCTACCGCCTCTGCAGTCAATTTTGCACCTGAACCATGTCGTTTCACAACATCACGAATGGTAGCCATTGCAAGTCTTCCGGCTCTGCCCATGATGTAGCTGTCAGCATACTGTATTCGGCCTAAAATTCTGCTACACTCGGAAAAAGTCATCGACCCCGTTTGAATGACTTTGTTGACCGACCCGACTATTTCATTTATACGGCTTTGCTTGTTTCTCACCAAGACCTCGAAAGAGTCAGCTCTGCTCAGATCCACCTCTACTCCAAGGATGCTCGAACAGGGGCCGAAAGCTTTCGTTTCCGCTCGTTGTAAGCAAAACCTAAGAGGTCCATGAGGCTAACAAGACAAGTCATGCTTGAATCGGCAAGCGAAATTGGAGTGACTATGGGATAGTCATCAAAATAGTTACTGACGATCAAATCCAAGTCCCAAGCAATCGCTTGCAGCCGCCTCGCAACCCGATTGAAGTGAACAACACTTGCAGTCGAACCAAAAGGCAGAACCCTGCCCTCAAAGCAGCAAACTTTGGCCGTACTTGGATCCTTCAACAAAACGATGGAGTATTTCCTGCAGCTTGGGTGAAGCGCAAGTTGCTTATACGCAGACGACAAATCCAAAGCAGAAATCACGGGGATCCAACTTCCATCCCGAGACAATGAAGGGTGCAAGGGGGCTCTCAGTTCTGTGCCACACGACAGTCTAAAGAATACTTCACCTCTGACGTGGGCCATCCTAGTGATGGCAACAGCTGCGCAGACTACTTGGTCCATAGCTCTCAAGTCAAGCTTGTCAAAATAAGCAAAGGCTGCATTTACCCTGTTTTCGGCGTAATCATCAATGGGTCTAAGTTTCACAGCGTCGCCAGAAGACTGCCGCACACCAAAACGACGAACTGGCAACCAGGCTGAACCATGAAGGGCATGGATCTGGTCTGGGGTAAAGGGACCTTTCATCCAATGCTTTTCCAAGGCCTCTTCCTGAGTGATACTAAAAAGCTCCTTCAGGTCATCATCCACAGGTGAGGCTTTGACCTTCCCTAGGAGAGCCGGTCGAACAAACTTTGACATGCCGTCCAGTTCTTCAACGGATATGGACGCAGGTCTAGGCTCGAGCGCGAAAATCCCAGAAGCGGGTTGATGCCCAACTATGCGAAACCCTTGGCACATTTCATCGAAAACATCCATGTCCTGCCACTTGATGTCATGCGCGATATGCCTCAACAAGAGAATGCGTTTCCCTTTGAGGACCGCAGCGACACCCTCCTCGAGACTATCATGGAGTTCTTTCTCGAGCGGAGCAAGTTTACTAGCAACCTTCAGCCAATCTTTAAGCTTTTGGGCTCTCCTCATGGCAATCTCTCCTGGTCCAAGCGTGAGATTCCTGAAGATGACCTCAAGCATACAATCAGGCACCGTGTGAAAAACATCAAACGGGTGTACAACCAACGAAGCTTTGTCAATAAACTCACGAGGCGAATGAAAGACTCCAAAGGACAATTGGCAAGTCTTGCTCAAACCCTTAGACGGAAACTCATCTTGACCTTGTTGGTCCCCCTGTTCATGGTCGACATTCTTACTCTCCCTTTTTCTCTTTCCCCCAAGACTCAGGGGAGTAAGGAGTTTGGAACCTGCAGGGATGGCTCCAAGAGAGACGGTCAAACGGCGCTTGCCATCCAGCGGTGGGACGGAGTCGGTCTGAATGGTTGCAATATACTTGAATTCAGGGACCAGCTGGGGGACAACCTTGCCTCTAGGTTGCTTTTGCATCGCAATGGAACCACGAGTCCACGAGCATTTAATGGGACATGCGACAGTGAACTGGGAACAGAAGCAGGCGATAACTGCGTGGACTGCAACACAATGCTGACAACCTTAGAAGCCAATGCTTTAGGGTATTTGGCAGCGGCGCTTGTGGCGCAACTGAAGGACTCATCAGCATCCCGTCGGCGACTACCGGGCAGGTGTTCATGCCCCCCTGGGCAATTGGCTGAGAGCTGACTCATTTCCGGAAGGTTTGACAAAAAGGCAACACGCGTTTGCCGTTCTGCACCCCAGGCGCAAGCATCAAAGTCAACAAAGCTCGCACTTGAAAAGAGTTCCATGATGCATGGAATTTCCCAAAGAAAGCTGCGGCTTGGATTTGCTACAGACCAAGCAATGCCACGGTTGGTGCATTGCTGCAGGAAAAATGACAAGTGCAAATAAATGGCATTTGCCGCGTCAACGCGTGCTTGGTCTTGAAGTGACAGATTAGCAAGTCCCATTGGTTGATCCACAGACCGCAAGGGCTGCGGGCTCTTGTCTGGGAGGGTACCGCGCGGCGGTGCGGCATGAGCAAAAAGAACTGCATACTGGTCTAACATACTCAAAAGAAAGTCCCAAGCGTGTTGTTTCGTCAAATCAAGACAGCAAATCGGCGCAAGTGGGTGAAAACGGTTGCGCTGATGGTCGACTGCTAAGGCCTCGACTCCAGCTTCGCGGAACTGACAACTTAGCATGGCGGACCCTGCGCATAGCTCTATAACTATCGGATGACGAGTATGCGATGTCTTCGACAAACGCACAGGCTCAGCATGGCGGATGGGCTGCTCAGGGCAAGGAGTCAATGCTTCTGTGGAAGACTCTGTTGAATTCTTGCTGACACCACCTGTGTTGCTTGCATCAAGACGGGTGGTGTCAGCATCATGCATTGGCGCTGAACAAAGCCCCTTAGGGGTTGTCAGCGCGTTCGGCATTTGTCACAAATCGGCCTGCTGGAGCTTAGGACACTTGGCATAACAATGACCTGGCTTGTAGCAGCCCTTGACACAACACACATGGAGGCCCTTCTGGCACCGGCCCCGGGACACTGGCAGCTTGCACTTGCTAAGGTTGTAGTCAAAGCAGATG